AATTGGGTGGCAACGAAATAAACCAAGTAAAAGCATTCTTAGTCAAAGAACTAGGGAAATATTTCATTTTTAATTCCTCGCTCATCGCTAGGTCCCCACATTCGATCTGATATCGAGCTACATGCTCGATAGTTGATTCACCAACTTCTCCAGCAAATTTAGTGAATTTAGGTACTTTGTATCCTCGAGGTAATTCCGTCTCGAGAATCGCATTTGGAAAGGGAGACACAAAGTATGTTTGATTGGGCGGTCTAAATTCCATCCCTTGGAAATTCATCCTCTGTCCTAACATGTGGTTATACTGCATGTTATTCTAATTGTACATATTTTGAAATCCTTCATTCAGATTCCCACAAATATCATTTCTCATCTGTTGGTATTCATTCCCCGTATGCTGATGTTGATCATTGTTTCGATTTCTCCTTAATAGATACGGGGGATTGATATTGGCATTCTGGTTAGCTTGATTTTCTACCCTTGTTCGTCGAGGTACAGCCAATGCATCCCCGATTCGTGACATTTGATCTGCTAATATCTCAAAACTAGCAGTAATATTTTGAACTAATGGATTTAGGACTGTAGTCAACTGTTGTGATAACATATTCACCATCTCAAAATTGCTCTCATCCATTTGTTGTCTAAGTATCCCTAATGAGTTACTGGATATCCTAGTACCAGTGTTTTCGATAGTCTCAAAATTGGATCGATGATAATCTTTATCGAATGTATATCTTCCATGTTCCAAATTTCCTCTATGGTCTAGATTTCCTCTATGATCTAGATTTGGAAGCGTTTGTTGTGTGCCCAAATTCTGTCCACTTCCTGAATTCTGGGGGATTACTAAATTTTGAGATGTCCCTAAATTTGGAGGGACTCCAAAATTTTGGGGCATGCCTAGTGTTTGAGGCATTCCTAAGTTATATCTCGAATTCCGTTGTGTTGAAGAAGTTCCAGCCCCACTCATATTATTAAGTGAAAACCCAGGCGGTCTTACACTCATATATGGCCCTACATATGTTGTTGTGGGGTTTTCTATAGTTTGCATATTATTTGGTACCACCACATTAGATCCTACTTGGGTGTTTGTTAAGGTACCTGAATTTTGTTCATTACCCACAGGTATCGACATACTCCCAGTTGTCGATGTTACAGGCATATTCCCATTCTGACTTTGCCCCCCAGTATTTGGTGAATGTACACCATTTAGACCCTCACTGTTACTTTGGTTATTTGATGAATTTTGACTCATTCTTATAACTCTCCCACTCATTAATCTCATACACTCTCGAACTAACCGATTTTGTGTGTTTTCAACACAAGACTACCCCCTACCTGGCGCGCCAATTTGTTTCTGGTGGAATTTTGATTGATTTCGACTCTTAAGATATTTTGATTCTAATCAAAATTCTACCATATAAGTTCTTTTTACTTAGGCTAGCAAATTTATTTTCAATCGAGATGCGTATGAGGATCGAATTTTACCCGATGTCAAAGATACTATTTTTGGTGTTTTATATCTAAAGTGCTCGAAGTAGACAAAACATAAATTCTATGGAATCGAAAAGCAGTGTTGTACATTAGACTGCAAAGAAACGTAACGTGCGGAGATCTTAAATTTGCTTCAAATATAAAAGACAGGGAATCGAAACAGCAGAAATGTAAATAACAGGAAATATAAATGACAGTAAATCAAATGTGCAGAAAGTATAAATAACTTGGGAATCGAAATTGCAGTAATGCTAAATGACAAGAGAACTTAAACGCGGAAACTTAACTTTCATTGAATCGAAATGACCAAAATCGAAAGTATAGAAACATAAAATTGCTAAAGATAAATTGCATCAAAGTAAATTACCAAGGAAAATACAGAAAACGGTAAAGGTACTCAATGAACATGGAAATCCAGATTGCCAGAAGCTTCATGATGTTCGTCGTTTCTCCGGTAGACTTCTCACTAATGATTCTGTTCTCTGCCAATTTTCTGCTCCCTTTTTCCTTTCCTCTTTTGCTCTATTTATAGTGTCTTTTCAAGTAGTCTCTTAAGAGCAGTTAACGAAGATTACTACCACGTTCTCTGTGCACGTCTTTTGCAGTTTTGTTCCTAGCTCTGCGGTTTAGAAACTGTATCCACGTTCCCATGAATGAGGTAACCGCTCCCTTGACCTTCGACTTTTTGCTACCGCTTACTATGTTCGATGTATACGTCGACCATTCTTCTTAGCCAAAATTTCGATATTTACGTATATTAGTCTTTCCTTCGATTTAGATTTCGTAACTTCGAGAATTTTGGATTTGCTTTCGATTTTTCGATATCCTTAACGTTACCAGATTTTATTTTCTTGATTTTCATCATCAATGGACGTTGAGCGTTATTTCTTCGATTTCCGATTCCAATTCTCGATATGTCTTTGTTTTTGTGTTTACCAGGTGTTTTAGCAATTGCATCGACTTGTTAATCACTTGTATAGTTCTCGATTTTTTGTTTCTCTTCACTTTCTCGATCCTTTTATAGATTTCTCACTAACAATGTGATTCAATGAAGTCTGATTTTGAGATGATTTAGTAAAAAAATTGAGCAACAATTATATTTATAATTTTATAAGATGATAAGTAAATTTAAGATGATTTAGTTTAAAAATAAGAAATAATGGATTGATAAAAATTTTATCAAATTATTAAAAATATTGAAAAAGATAGTTTTAGAAAATAGCAAATTACCTAATTGTAAATTTATATTGGTGAGGGTGGAGTGCCATGTAAATTTTATACTTCTAATTAATTTTAAAATCCATTTACGTTTGTTTATCTGTTTTTTTTTTAACAAAAATTTACTTCAGTTATATCTAAATTGACGTCAAATAAATTTATTGTTCACACTCACGGTAAACATAAAAAATATTAAAATAATAAATAATATTTTAAATAAAGATAAGTATACGTAATTTAGTTAAGTAATATATTCTATATAAATAAAATAATTATATATATTATTTTACCTTTTTACTTGATAATTTACTTTTTTACATGGTAATTTATTATAAATAATTATGTTTATTTAACATTTATAATAATTTATTTTCTGTATATTAATTTTGATATTATGATATTGAATAATTATAATATATTTTTTAATATATCATAAACATGAATTTCATCTCTAAAAACAAAAATAATTTTAAAAAATAGTTTATACTCTTAAAACAATTATTTAAATATGTTCTAATTGTTTTGTCTTGAAAAATATTTTTTAGTACTCTCAAAAATTAATAAATTCACTGTTATTTTAATTTTTTTATTTTTCTTTTAATTATTTTCTTTTTAATAATATAATATTATGAATTAACTCAATCCATCACTCAACCAGATAAATTAGTAAATATGTGTATAATGAAGAATACGCTTAGAATACACAGAAAAAAAAAACTAAAATAACAATTACTAAATAAAAGTAATTATCATTCATTTTTTATTGATAATGTTTTTTTATTATGCTGTTTTGTTGCTTCTTTTCATCTAAGGAACAAGGAGGGTTTTCTTTTTATTTTTCTAAAAAAAAGAAAAAGCTTACTAACTTTTCGTAGAATAGAATCATCTATTCTGATCATAAATTGTCCTTCCATTCCACCGTTTTCTTTCTTCCTTCACTGTTACGTAATTCTCTTCCCATTTTGCCCTCACCGACACCTACGTCGTCACCCTCACGTGCCTAGTAAAGTACCAAACTACCCCTTCTTCATTTCTGCAACAACCGTCGGTTTCTCACCGACTCTCCCACCAAATATCTCTTCCACGGTGCCCATACCCCCATTCTCACCCTTTCTCTTACACTTTGACTTTCAATCACAGTTAACCATTATAACTATCATAACAAAATAACAATTATAACAAGAAGATTGAACTAGATCTAGCAAATTTATTTATTTAGAAAAATTATAATTTCTAAAATGAGATCATCAAATTACAATTATTAGATAAAAAATCTAGTTATTTCAAAGTTTAAAATTAAGTTTTATTTATTTATTTTCATATATTTTTATAATTAAAATGAATTATTATTAAAAATTGAATAATAAAGATAAATAGTGAGTATATTATATAAAAATACATTAACCTTCAACTTCAACCCACTAAATAAAAAAAATTAAATTTAAAAATTTATGAGTATAATTTTCATATATGAATTAAAACAACAATAATAAATAATATAAATTTAAAACAGAAATTTTAATTCATTACTATACAAACATTTATCTTATATATTAATATGATTAAATAATAATATAAAAACTTGGACTATTACTAAATTCATATAAAAAAAAGTTTAATTTTATTATAGTATCATTATAACTTTATTATACATTTAACTGATTAAAAGTCACATTATATATACATTTTTAAAAAGTTATTGAAAAAGTATTGCATACATAACAATTTATGACTACATAATAATATAAAAATATTTATACTTGTAATACATTCTAATTAAAATTTTAATATAGACACATGAATTCATTCCTTATATTCCATATTGTTCTATTTTTTCAATTTACATCATTACATTTTGATTAGGTACCACATTGAGATTATAAATATACATAAGCAACCAATGTGGTTGTTTTGTCCAAATTAAATTCAAACGCTACGTCACTGTTTTTAAGAGAGAAAAAAAAAAGTTTTTCATCTTTCTCAAGCAATCCTATGATTTGGTAAGTAATCTATGTATTAGCTGGTAAAATACCTATTTTCATATATTAGTCAACTGTTGCAACGTCCTTTTCTTTTTCTTTCTTTATTTCATTATTTTCCACACCATTTTTTAAATTTCAAGCATCTTTCATGTTTTAATATTTATTGGTAATTTTTGCTGCGTAACTTGCACAGTCAGGAATCCAGCTTGCTTTATAGTTGCCGAGAGCTGTGAGGAGACAACAGAACACGAGACAGAGAAAGAGCAAATTCCACACTGTTCTGTTCTTCAGCAACATTCTCTACTCATATCCATGGCTTCGAAGCTCTTACTCATCGCTGTCTTCGTTTTTGACTTGATTGCTTTTGGATTGGCCGTGGCTGCTGAGCAGAGAAGAAGCACTGTGAGTTTTCACATTTCAATTCACTCTTTTTTCTCTAAATCCGAAGTAATAATCTGGGTTTGAGTTCAGTGTCGGTTTTATTTATGGGTTTGAGAAGAATCATGTGACAAATTTATGGATAAACTCGAAAGATTTTTGTTTTTTTCGATAAAACTAGAAAATTTTGGGCAAAGCTTGAACCTTTAATCTTGAATATTTCTTTGGGTGAGGTAAAGTTTGGGAATTTGATGTTGGGTTTATAACAGTTTAGCATAATGGCTTCAAAGAACGTTACTCTTTTTTCTATAATTCCTATTTGTTCTTTTTTTTTTTTCTGATTTGTGCCCAGCTAGATCTGTTTACGGTTGAAAATGTGATCTTTCTTTGAAAATAGTTGTGAATGTGATATGTATAAAGTTTTCGAAAAAACCTGTTTGCAACTTTTGCTGTTGGCATTCCATGATATGCCAAATCTTGAAGTGGGTGAAGTTCTTCATTGATGTGATTTCTCTAGTTATTTTTGTGTATAGAACTCCAGATCTGTATACACATTTTACTGTTGTGTTTATATACAAGAGAAAATGTTCTATGTGATTGTGAAGCGTCAGATCTCTCCTTTTTCTCTTCTTTTGAATCTTAACATGTATCAAATTTAGGCAAATAGTCGTTGGAATTATGTCATTGAAATTCCACAAGCAAAAAAATTTTGAATCTGTTTTTCATCAAAGGTGCATATTCATATGATCGGTTATGAGTTTATGTACTTAGCTAACACAGGTGTAACCCTAATACATAGGCAATTATGAATGTTTACAGAACTAGGCAGTGAAGGGTTTTCTTTTTCAACCCTGGTTTGTGTAACTCATGGTTCAAGCAAAGAATATTTAGTTATACAAAACCAAAGACTCGTTTAGTTTTGAAAAATTTTCACCAAGTGCTAGTTAGGAAATTAGTAATGTGGAGATATATGATCATAATTTGTCACCAAGTTGTCTTTTCCTGCATGGTACATTTATGATTTGAGGTTTGAGCCTATGATCTCCTATGATCTCTTGTAATAATAAATTATCTGAACTCCTCACCACTAGCCCACTTCACTCATGACTTATAAGTGAACTTTTTATACTAATGATGCAATTTTTTGAGCTTTTTACCTTTGTACCTCCTACATGACAAAACATTTATCTTTGTTTCAATTGGCAGGCTACGATTGTGCCGGACAGTGAAAAGAATTATAATTACTGTGTCTATAACTCAGATATAGCAACTGGCTATGGTGTTGGAGCATTTTTATTCCTCTTGATTAGTCAAGTCCTGATAATGGTGGCAAGCCGATGCTTCTGTTGTGGGAAGCCTCTAAGCCCTGGAGGCTCAAGGGCTTGTGCAGTTGTCCTTTTCATAATCTGCTGGTATATCATCATTCTTCACTGAACTAACGATGATGAATTATAGATAGCAAATATTAACTAAATGTACAGTAGTATTAAGAAGGTTCTATATCCATCGAAGTTTTTTAACTCGATTTAATTTCCATAGATTGATACACCATAATAAACTGAATATATATTGCCTTTTAGTTTGGTGTTAAACATTTTAACTGATAACATTTGTTCGACAATTGTCTCCTTCAGGGTGTTTTTCATAATAGCTGAGGTGTGCTTGTTGGCTGGATCAGTGGAAAATGCCTACCACACCAAGTACAGGACCATCTTTGGGGACAGAGCTCCTTCTTGCGAAACAGTTAGGAAGGGAGTGTTTGCTGCTGGTGCTGCTTTTGTTTTCTTCACTGCCATTGTTTCTGAATTCTACTATGTCAACTACTCAAGTGCCAGGGAAAGCTTCCAACCTTATGGCGGCGGGGAGACTGGTGTAGGTATGGGAACATACAAATAAGCTTGTTAGTTAAGAATTTTACAGCCTACATTTTTAGGTTTGACGATTCCTGGAGTCTGGATTCTGCAGCATTGCTGTATTTACAGTTTAGGTACTTTCCTAGAATGAATGTATAAGTTGTATCTTAGTAATTTTTTTGTTGTTACCTATTGTCGTATGTTATGGGTACTGATTCATTGCCTCTTTACATTTTTGAGTTCTTCGTGATGTATACATATCAGCAAGAGAAATAATCTCTGGATTTATATTGTTTCTGCATATGCTTTTAAAATGTAGTTCTTTCCTTCATATGTTAGTAACTTCATTGTAGGATCAATTTGCTTAATATTTTTGGTAGTTTATGATGCAATGAATTTCACACATTTGGTGCTTCAGCAAGTGCTATTATTGCACTAATAGATCAATATAAATATTACTATTTAAAGATTATCTTAGAAGAATTCCTCTTTAGACATATAGATATCACTATGTTTTATATTTTATTTGCATATGAACGATCCTTTCATATTTTATATACCCATGCTTGCGAAGTTTGTCCAAAATTGTCTAAGGTCATCTCTTTGGAGGTTACTGTTGAGAGTGGAGATAAAGAAGCTTAATCCTCCTAGAAGCTATAGGTAGAGTTTAAGTGTAACAAAAAGACATATAGGTTGAAGCTGGAAACCCAAGAAAAGCTACTGACACATCTTATATTAATGGACTTATATAAATAAAAAACCGACGCAAGCCTCTTTTTCAATTATGATAATTGTGTCTCTTACACTCATGGACTTACACTGTAATAATCAAATGCAGACTTCTTTTTAATTAAGGTATGGTGTCAATTTGATAACAATCATAATTACATCTCTTACACTTGATAAGAATCAACCACAAACCTCTTTTTCAATTCAGATAGGACGTCATTTTATTAACAGTCATAATTGTGTCTCTTACAATGATGGATTTACATAAGAATCAAATATTCTTGTTTAAATAAGATAGACATTGATTTGTTAATGATCATAATCACATTGTTTAATTGATGCACTTATGTGGATAAGAATCCAACACAAGTCTCTCAATAAAAAAATTAATGTTAGAAAAAATATAATATATATATTTATTCATGTGCCTAGTTAAAAACCTAAAAAAAAAATGCTCAATGAAAAAGAAGTACATGTGTAATTCAAAGAATAAAATAATCTCAGACGTAGCACAGTTACAATTAGTCAAGTTTATGGAATAATTCCTCCATCTAACATAATAAACACATCTATGAACCACTTCACATATTCATTTGGTTGAAAATTTATTTGAACCCTTTTTAACACTACATTGAACATTTAGAATGTTCTAGGAATCACCTCATAATATGTTTATCTTCAACTCACCATTTTACCACAATCTCTAGTAATTTAGCTACCTCTCAAAATTTTAATATTTATGTCTAAATTAAAATGAACTCTTGTCTTTAAAACTTCTTCCAAAACTATGTGCACTTGATATGATGATTTACTAATTTCTACTAGAACCATCACATCCAATTCATATATCTGGAGTTTCACTTGTTATCGAAAAAGTGTTAAAAGTGTTGCATGATATAACCGCAAGACATGAGATACTTCATCAACCCAAAAGCTTAAATTTTATCTAAATGTTGTTTGAATCCTTTTAAGATGACATTGCTTCTTACCTCCACTTGTTCATTCAGTTGGAAATTTTTTTATCAAAATGGATACTAGCTAAATTTTTAGATCCATGCACATTTTTCTATGACAAATGGTGTCATTATTAGCTAATGATACTTTCAAAATACCATGTTGGTTATATTAGTTTGGTAGTTTTTTTTATTTTTTAATTAGTTTTTCCATCTAATATAAGTCATAGGCTTGTTTTTGTTTACGAATGTTTTTTATCATTTTTTTTCATAAGAAATAAAGTGTTTATCTTATTTTCTGTGTGTTTTATGAGTCTCACACATTCAATCAATCAATACATGTTTAAGTGACATCCCTTGTTTTTAATAAAACACACCATGCAATATGGTATCAGAGCGGGTTCGTTCCACTCTGCTTCCACATAACCATTCCTGATCTATATCCAACCAAGGTGACATCCCTTGTTTTTAATAAAGCACACCATGCAATATGGTATCAGAGCGGGTTCATTCCGCTCTGCTTCCACATAACCATTCCTGATCTATATCCAACCAAGGTTTTTTCTTTCAGATCTTTCTATTTCTTTCTTCTTACATTTTTGTGTGATTTTTGCTCCTAAAAAATCATGGATCATATACAAAATCCTACAAGTCCATATTTTTTACATCCGGGTGAAAATCCTAGGATGGTGTTGGTTAATCCTATTCTCACTAGAGGTAACTATCATTCTTAGAGTCGTGCAATGAAGCGTCCGTTACTCTCAAAAAACAAATTAAAATTCGTTGATGGTACTATCGTTATGCTTGGAAGAAGTGATGCATTATGGAAAGATGTAACATGATGGTTATATCTTGGATTACTCGTGCTATATCTGATCACATTGCCCATAACATTGTTTACATTGATAATGCTAAGGATTTGTGGGATATTCTTAAAGAGAGGTTCTCCAAAGGAGATCACTTTAGGATGTCATATTTGCTTCAAGAAATACACTCAATGAAACATGGAGAAAGAAGCATTTTAGAATTCTTCACGGATCTCAAAATTTCTTGGGAAGAACTAGAAGCCTTGTGACCCACACTCACATATGTCAGTGATACCAGATGCACTTGTAGCATATTAAAGAATGCAATAAAGCATAAGGAATTTGAACATGTTATTTGTTTCTTGAAGGGGCTTAGTGAATCCTATAACACCATTAAAACTCAAGTTTTGTTAATGGAACATCTATTGGGAATCAACTTCGTTTATTCTCTTGTATTACAACAAGAAAGACAATTAACAGGAGGTATTATGGTTGATAATAAGGATGTTATTAATTCCACTAATACCCAAAATAATTGGAAATCACAGAGAAAGGGTAATTCAAATAATTCGAGAAATCAAACAAAAAATATCGAAATCCTCACTTTGGATAGTAGTGTAGTTACTGTAACAAGACGAATCATACAACCGAGCAATGTTATTCAAAACATGGCTTTCCACCTTGGTATAAGTATAGAAATGAACAACATACTTCTAATAATCTTTTCTCTAGTAATGCTTTTGACAATCATGAAAACAAAGAAGAGGAAGGGTCACAAACTGATCAACAAGTTATAAAAGAAAAGGTCAACATGTAGTTCACCCAAGATCAGGTACAACAACGGTTGAAAATTATGCAAAAACAAACAAATAAGTCTACCCACAGAGCTAACAATATCATAACTGAGTCCACGATTGTCTCTTCTGATAAAGGTAAAAATCTAAATTGGGTTCTTGATACTAGGGCTACTGATCATATCACATATAACATTTTGCATTTCACTAGTTTTCACAAAATAAATTACTACCCATTACTCTGGAACTATTCATTTCTCTGAGTATCTTTATATTTTCAATGTTCTTTACATACCAGAGTTTACATTCAATTTAATTTGTGCAATGCATGATACATTCTTTAAATTGTAAACTAATCTTCTTATGTGAGATTTATCAGAGACATGATATTATTTCTCAAAGGATGATTGGGAAAGCTGAAATACACAATGGTCTTTATTACTAGTAAGGAAACAAATTGTTTAGTTAATATTATTAGCTCTGATAATAATGTTTACTATGACTTAGATCTTTGGCATCATAGACTTGGGCACCTTTCAAACAAAGTTCTTGATCGTATTTGCAATATGTTTTCTTATGTTCACTTTGATAAAAGTTTCATTTGTGATTTCTGTCATCTAGCCAAACAACATAGGCTTCCTTTTACTCAAAATAATAACAATGCTACTCATATCTTTGTTATTATCCATATTAATATTTGGGGGGCCATTGGTGTGTCATATATACAAGGATACAATTTTTTTCTCACTATTGTCGATGACTTTGGTAGATATACATGGACCTTTTTGCTAAAACATACATCTGAAACCAAAAATGTTTTACATAATTTCATTGTCTTGATTCAAAATCAGTTTAATACAAAAATTAAAATTCTTAGATCTGATAATGGACAAGAATTTGTTTGGAATGATTTGTATAATAATTTGGGGATCATAACAAAACTAGTGGTGTTGAAACACCACAACAAAATGTTATTGTGGAGAGAAAGCATAACACATCATGAATGTTGTTAGGAGCTTTTTGTTTCAATCTAATCTTCCTACTTATTTTTTGTCTTTTGCTTCGTCTCATGCGGTTCATTTAATAACCAAGCTTCCCTCTACTACTATAAACAATAAAACTCCCTATGAAATCCTTCATAATCAATTGCCTGATCTTAGGAATTTGAGAGTTTTCGGATCCCTATGTTTTGTTTATACTCTTGGAAGAAATATAACTAAACTTAACTTTAGAGCAAGAAAATGTGCCTTTCTAGGATATAAGAGCAAAACGAATAGGTATATAGTTCTTGACATTAACAGTAAATAAATCTTAGTTTCCAGAAATATTGTTTTTTATGAGAATATCTTTCCATATAAAACGAAAGAAAGTAATCAAGTTAATAATACTCAACTTGAAAATCTTTTCATTTTTTCTGTTGAATTTCCTATTACTCAGAATAACAACTGACTTGAACAAAATGATCAAGTTAACAATGCTGATCAAAATGAACAAAATGATAAAACCATTAAAAATCCTCAATGATGTGAAGCTATGGAAAAGGAGATAAAGGCTCTGGAGCGCAACAATACTTGGATTTTTACATACCTTCCTCAAGGAAAAAAGGCTATTGGTAGTAGATGGGTTTATAAGGTAAAACACAAAGCAGATGGAAGTATTGAACGATACAAAACTCGCTTGGTAGAAAAGAGATATACCCAATTTGAGGAAATCAATTACTTTGAAACCTTCTCGCCTCTGGCCAAGTTGACCACCCGTCAG